CGTGTTCCCGTTCCCCCCCTCCCCCCCTCCCCCCCCTCGTGGACTTGTATTCAGGCTGCCCGCGGCAGATAACCGGACAAATTATCGGTGTCCATCCCTTCGGCAGCGCGACCGTACACATTCGATCACGCCCATTTGCCTCATCCCAGGCCTGCAGTGACAGTATGCCGATGGCTGGTAACATGATATAGTTGTCGCAGTGGCGATGTTGGAGGTAGAGTGATAGAGTATTGCATAGGAATGTGCTAGGGCGTGTTCATCCACTACCTAGTGGAATAGCTCAGCCTCGTGTGGAAGCAGTTTTAGGATACCGAGATCCGTAGCATATCCTAGCCGCAGCGCGAGATTATGTTCGCCTTGTTACCGCTCGGACGCGCGGCTATCCTTTTCCCACTGTTGGCGCCACTGGGCCTCCAGCTCCTCCAAACAGCGTAGCGCACCTGAGGCGGATTTCTCCCTCAGGAGCGACTTCTGGTATGCGCTCATCCCACCTAGGACGTAGTTGCTGACGCTAGCCCTGTCCCGCTGGGCAGGGCGGCCGATTCCGACACGGAGACGCGTCCACCACTTCGAGTTTTCAGGGTAAGCCGACGGCTTGAGGCTGGCCTGTGAGCTCCTGATGCCATTGTGGCCCTTGTGGCTGCTGTCCCATGTCCTTGTCCGCACATCACCCAGCTCCAGCTCCAGCTCGTCCTGCAGCAGCACAAGGCCGAGTTGCCGCTGGTCGTGGTTGTCCTGCAGGGCCTGCTTCCACGCCTGAGCCAGCCAGGGGCCGGTGGTGTTCATGGAGCAGGGCGAGGTCACGAGCATGTACTTGTCGCCAAGCGATATGTCGGTCGTCTTCTTGCCGAACCGGTCGGAAGTGAAGCGAGGTTGTGCTTCTACCAAGGGTTGCAGGGCGCGGAGGACTATGTGGCCAGCCGAGTGAAAGGTCTCGTGCAGAGGCGCCGGGTTGCCCAGGCTGACCACGAGAAGCCGAGGGTTGAAGATGGAGAAGGACATTTGGCAGGCTCGGTCCCGCCTTGACCGCGGCCGAGGTCAAAGAGTGAGTGCGGTGTCCAATCGTCTTCGGCCACAGCCCGCTGCTTGCCTCTGTCCAGATGCCCGTGCAACGTTGATCTGCGAGGGAATGCAGACATCAATTGGATGCTGTGTACCTCTGATACACTCGGCGAACCTTGAACCCGTGCCCTCTTTGCCTGCTGTGTTTCACCACTTTTTTTCCTGCCTCGCGTGATGCGCTCCATGACTCTTTCGGCTGGCGATACACCGCCAACAGCTGTCGGCGCAACCAGGGGTGCTCTTGGCAGACCAAATCAAGCAGACGCGTTTCCCTGGCCTAGCGCGGTTGGGCTTGGATTCCATTGGGCTGACGTCTGTGCAGCAGTGGCTCCGCCCGCTGACGTAGTCGTTTCTTGCGGCTGTGCAGCGCCACAATCCCTCGTCACTCCGGTCCGCATTGGTCTGCCACAACCCAGGCCGACCTTGCGAACCTTCGAATCAACACAACCGTCGTCAACAATCACCAACAAACCCGCCGCCGACCGCGCGAACAGCCCCCGACCTCCCCGAACAGGAACCTCCATTCCGCGATCCATCCTTCGAATACCGACCGTCAATCTCGCCCAAGATGTCGTGGGCAGGTAAGAAACTTTGCCCCGCGCAATATCTCCTGGGTCGCCTTTACAGGCCGCGACGCTGACGACCGACCCATCCGCTTTGTCCAGGCTTCAAGAAGAATGTCAACCGCGCGACCACCCAGGTCATGATGAAGACTGGTCAGTCCTCCCGCCGGAGCGAACATCCCGCCTGCGATTGCCAGCCCAAGGGCGCCAACGAACCGAAACCAGGCCCGCCCAATCGAATCGCCCCTGGAGCTGACGCTTTTAAACCTCTGTCGGAAAACAGGGCATGTCGAGAAGACAAACGATAGAGACTACGAGGTGGAGGAAAGGTACGAGGCAGCTCGTCGGCGAGCGCCACCCAAACCCCCACACTGTGGAGATACGGCGATCTGACTAGGATGGCTCACAGGCGCTTCCGCACTATGGAGGCCGCATCGAATCGCTTGCAGAAGGAGGCAAAAGGCTACCTGGATTCACTAAGGGGTACGCATCATCCCAAGAAACCGCACGTCGTGACAGCCGTGTCTCAGTCTCTAACATCCGTGCCATTTTCTACGTTCGGCCCTCCGCGCAGCCATGACGGCCTCACAAATGAGGATCGCCGAGACCATAGACGCATTCTACGGAGACTCGGGCGCCAAGGACGGTGTGAGCAGGAGTTACAAGCAAGCTGTCGAAGACCTTGACGCAGAAACCATCAAAGCGCTTGACGGTCCCTATCGGTTGGTCTTTACCGAATCACATTGGCTTGTTCGAATGCTGACCATCTACAGAACCACAGTTCTCGAGCCCATCACCAGATTTTGTTCTTACTTCCCAGACGTCAATGAATGTGAGTCTTGCCACAGACAACCCATTGTTGCCTGCCGCTAAACGATTCCCTATAGGCATCAAGAAGCGCGGGCACAAGCTTCTCGACTATGATGCACTCCGGGCGCGAGTCAAGAAGCTGGCCGAGAAGCCGGACAAGGACGTGACGAAGCTCCCCCGGACTGAAAAGGAGATGGATATGGCGAGGGCAGCATACGAACAGCTCAACGAGCAGCTATGCTCGGAGCTTCCACAGCTGATCGACTTGCGCGTGCCTTACCTCGACCCATCCTTCGAGGCGCTCGTCAAAATCCAGCTACGGTTCTGCGCCGAGGCCTACAGTCGCATGGCACAAGTACAGCAATATCTCGATGCCGATACCAGAGAGCAGTACGCCCAAGGGCACCTAGACTCTCGCGTCGAGCAGGTGCTTCAGGAAATTAGGGAACTGAGCATCAGCGGGACGGTCTGAGGGAGTATAGTGTAATAGGTGCCACGAAACAGCCCTATGGCGGACCACCTCGCATGCTCTCCTACCAAGGCCCCTCCTTGTCCGATAAGTGTTCACTTGGATCATAGGAAGGACCGGGAGATCGCCACATGCGTTATGCTTGAAACGGAGAACGGACGCATGGGCGGGGCTCGAGATTGGTTCTCTGTCTGGATTTGGGGCTGAGAATACCGAACGATTGCGGCATCGACACTCGTCAAACAGGGAACGAGAGCATGAACGCTTGCTGCATCGCGTTTTCAACATCAGTACGAGAAGCTGACACTTGTACTCTTAGTGCGTTCCTAGGAATTACTTGTATCTGACAGGTTAGAAGGCGTTCGGACTTGCATTTCCTCAATCTTGGAATGGCATCCTTGGCTTGAACTAGTCGTGGATGACTCGGAAAATACGACTTTATACCAGGCGAATTCCGGTTGTCAGGGGTAGCCCGCATGCACCTGCGACATGGCCTGGGAGGCAACGCGCATGCGGATATTCTTGACCGCAAATTATATCTAGGAACGTGGTCGACGCAAGTCTCCCAAGGTAACACTATCTAGATCTGCCCCTTCACGCATTTCCCTTCCCCATGTTGGTACGAATGTTGTTGTACTGCGATCCCGGGTATGAAAGCAGGTTCTGCGAGCACTGGAGCTCCTCAAGCCAGCCAGCCACGCTGCGGACCATGCTGGCGCTGTTGTTTTTGTCCTGCGACGCCTCCCAGAACATGACGCCACCGAGGCCCTTCTCCTTGATGTACTGCGACTTGAACTGCGCAGACTTTTTGTCGTCGTACGAGACGAGCTGCCCGGTCGAGTTGTCGAACGTGTAGGTCGCCTTGGCCACGTCGTCGTACAGGACGGTGGCGCCGGCGCGCGGCAGGTCCTTGTACAGCCAGATGGCGGCCTGCCCGTCGAGCGACCCGGCCGTCGAGGGCGTGTAGGGCTTGCCGAGCCCAGTCGTCTTGTCGAACGAGCGCCCGTATAGGGGGATGCCGACGTTGAGCTTGCCTGGGGGCACGCCGCCGGCCACGTAGTCGGCCACGGCCTGGTCGATGCTGGCCTTTGTCGCCAGCGGCGTCGACGGCTCCGGGAACACGTTGGCCTGGTGGCCCGTCGTGTTGTCCCAGTTGCCCGCGAAGTCGAAGGCCATGACGGACCAGAAGTCGAGCGACGCGTCCATGGCCTTGAAGTTGAAGGCCCTGTAGTGATCCGGCCCCGCGGGGGCCGGGAAGCTGAGGGTGAAGCGGTAGCCGGGCGCGTGCTGGGCCGCGTAGTCGTCCAGCCCCTTGCGCAGGTCCGCGAGCAGGCTGACGCTGTTTGCGTTTTTGGCGGCCGTGTCCGGGTACTCCCAGTCGATGTCGAGCCCGTCCATGCCCCAGTCGCCCATCAGCTTGACGGCCGTGGAGACGAAGGTGGCGCGCTTGGTGGCGTCGGCAGCCACGGGCTCGAACTTGGGCGACCACGTGTAGCCGCCCACGGACAGCAAGACCTTGAGGTGTCGGTTCTGCTGCTTCAGGCGGTACAGCCGCCCCACCATGCCGTACGCGTCCTTGGTGCCGTTTGCGCCGCCGCCGCCGCCGGGCGGGGCGCTGCTGCCGGCGAAGATCTTTTGGGTGTCGGCCCACTCGTCGGAGGAGACGCTGAGCATTAGTTGGGGTTTTGTCAGCAGAGGTTCATGGCGCATAAAAGACATGAAAGGGGGTGTTTTCAACTCACACGCTCCCGTCTTCCCTGATATCCGCAAACGCATATTGCACATGCGTTATCTCGGACACCGGGATGTCTGACGGCAGGAACTTAGCGCCATATATGCCCCAGTTCGTCACATAGAGGACGCTGCGGAACCCGCCATCCTTCGAGTAGACGCTCCCGCTGGTGCCACAACTGGCGTCGGCTTGTCTTGCGATGTGGTGGCTACCATAACCGCGCCTGACGTGGTCCCGCGAAAGGAGGCCGGCTGCCGCCGAAGCGGCGAGGAGAGACGAAAAGAGCAGATGCTTCATGGTGAACGGATGACCGTCTAGCCAAGAAGAAGAATAAAGATCTGGCCGATGAACGGGTGAACGAACGAACGTCGGCGCGTTGGGATGGTCCGGAGCCCCTGGTGATACCCAGCTGCCTCATCTTGGTCGGACAAACCGCCCCTTTATTTGGTCCCAACCCACCACCCCGGGTATGTACGCCGGGCCTGACCCACGACGCGGGGCCCCCTCCCATCCTCGACGGCCCTAGAAAGGGAGGCGGAGCGGGCGCATGGCCACCCAAGTCAAGATCAGATGCCGCCCCGGAGCAAAGCTGCCTGGAATCGGCCCAGACAGCATTGATGACGAGTCGCCCGACTGACTCTAGGCACCGGGCCCCATCACCTGAATGGCCGCCGCGTGTCATGGAGGCTCAAAAGCCTGATGCGATCTTTTATCTACCCCATTGACTGTTTTTTTTTCGTCCATTCTTATCAGCCCGGCCGGGGGGTTGCTCTCGGCGGAAGCAACGTTCAGACGAGGGCGCCTCGGCGATGGGTCGCAGGGGCCAGGGGTGGAGGGCGAGTATCGTCTGATGGTTGGGCGATGCAACCTTGTCGCGCTGACAGCAAGGCCAAAGCGATAGCATTCGGGATCGTCGTGAGTACCTTTTTTGCCATCAGGTCGCTGACACGCAAGGTCGCCATGTGTGTCAGGGACAATGCAAAGTTTTATGCGTGGTGATTACGATCCATCAATGTGCGGCTATTCCTAAAGGACGAGAATCAGGTCCTATAACGCGTAACTTTCCGTTTCTCCTTCCTCTCCCTTTTATGTTCCTCCACCGTTTTCTATGTTACCTCCCCCTGTTCGTCGCTCCTGCGCTCTCACGTACGCGGCCGAATCCTCGCCGTAGCTCCGACTGAGCCACACGGCATTCTCCTCTTCCGTCTTGTCAGCCTTGTATTCGAGTATTTTCAGTCTAAGGTTGGGGCTACCAAACCACGGGAAACATCCAACGATATGCAGGGGTCGAATTCCTTTTACAAACCAAAAGGCTGCTACATGAGGTACGGGCACCTCCCGGGCACTCCTGTAAACAGGATCACCTAATAAGGTTTGCATGGCTCGCGTGATCCAGAATGAGTGTTTGTCTTATTCGTGAGCAAAGAGCAATTTCACTTCCAGAGAAGGAGCAGGAGTGCACTCCTATCTACGCCATCCGAATCATGCGTAGCCTGCTACTGCTCTCGTGAATTGTGAAGTATTCTTACTTGATGTTTATATACGCCGATCGGACAGCTTTGGCAGGCCGAATGTCAGAATAGCCCCTGGTCGCGGGGTGCAGGCACCGGGCAGCAAAAGTCATTTCTGTTTCGCCAAGCAGCCAGGTGTTGGATACGGCGTAATGCCCGGTTGTGTGACGAGTCTTTACATACGGTGCGGGTCTTCTAGGCACCTTCGTTTGGGATCTAAATGCGCTCGCCGCCCTGACTTTCGTCCCATGGCAGATCAGTAGACTCCACGAACAGGGCAGCCCCGAGCAGACCATCGGAGCCGGAGTACTGTGTAAGGATGCCCCGTTGACTGGGCGCGCTTTATGTCACTACCCATCTCCTTTCGACGAGTCGACGAATCGTAGCTACCCCTGCAGCAGCTTCCCTCCCGTTGAACCCACGTGAAGAAAGATGGACCGGGTACGGCAGCCTCTCAGAGATTGTATCCTAGAAAACCTACTAGAGTACCACCAGCGCTAACGATCTGGGCATGTACTTTGGATACTTTGCTAGACACAAACTGCACGATAAAATCTGCTATTTAAAGGAAAAGGACGAGACTGTATCTTTCGGTTGAGAATACTAAGCGTACAGGAATGCACATCCGGTGCACCACTATGATGATATGTCAGCTTGGGAAGGCGTAGCAAACCCGTAGCTACAGGTGCCGGCCAGGGGCGAGGTAATTTGAAGATTTCCTAGCCGTTTGCGTCTATGGGTTACAAATCGCCCGGGTGGATATCTTTTCTAGTGTTTTCTCGCTGGAAGGTGCCAACCCGGCGTGTCGCCATCGTTGAAGATGAGCACGAATACAATTTTATGATGACGGAACCTGACGGGGAGCTCAGGGTCTCCCGTGTCGATCTTGCGTTCTCAAATTAATCACCCCGTCTTTGGCTTTAGCTTGAAAACCTCGAGCGGGAACTGGTCAGCCATGTGCTGATAACCGGCCACGCTCAGGTGCAAATGGTCCCCGCTGTCGTACGCAGCCAGCAGCTTGGACGCGTCGCGCGGGTCGGCCACAAACTTTGCCAGGTCCACCACGCCGTCGAACACGGTACCATTAGACGCTATCACCCACTGGTTGAACCGCACGCGCATTTGCTCCCTCGCCGGCGTCGAGTAGGCCTGGCCCTGCCCACCAAAGGGCGTGATGGTGGCCGCCAACACCACCAGCCCGGCCTGGCGGCAGTCCCGGGCGATCTGGGTAAAGGCGCTCTGCAGGCGGCCCGACACGTCGGAGCCCGCGCTGCCGATGTCGTTGACGCCCTCGTACAGCAGTGCGTACCGCGCGCCCGAGACCTGCAGCGCGTCCCGCCGGTACCGCGTCAGCAGCGTCGGGCCCAGCCCGCCCGCCAGCACGGCGTTGCCGCCCGCGGCTTGGTTGACGACCGAGATCTTGTCGAGCCCGTCGGCGGCTGCGCCGGCCTTGCGCATCTGCGCCAGCAGCCGGTCGGGCCAGCGGTTGTTGGCGTCGTCGGTGCTGCCGCGGCCGTCGGTGATGCTGTCGCCGAGGACCACGAGAGCGCCCGCGAGGGTGTCGGGGCCCGCCCAGGCCTCGACGGCGCTGGCAAAGTACCAGTGCTTGGTGCTCGTGCCGGCCACGTCGGCCGCCTCGACCCGGTTCCCGGCCTGGATCCAGCTGGTGGTGCGGCTGCCCGGGTGGCCGGTGATGGCGCTGCCAGTCTGGCCGCCCTGCAGGTACAGGGTGAGCGCTAAGTTGGACTCGGGCGAGACCTTGAAGTCGATTCCGTCCGAGTAGGCCACCTGACCGCGCGGTACCGTCACTGAGGCTTTCCCTCCGCCAAACGTCAGGGGCTTCAGCGTCGAGGTGTCCACGCGGCCGACGCCGGCTTTGCCGCCCGCCGGGAGAGCGACGGACGCAGCCGAGATGGTGAGGTCGCTGCCGCCAAAAGTGTTGGATATCTGGACCCGGATTCTCTCGGCACCGGCAGCCATATAGAGTGTCTGTCTGAGGGTCGCATCGCGGAAGATAGGAGAGCTTCTCTAGAGGACGGGCCAGGGGCTACTGTTAGGGCTAACATGACCAAAGACAACGCTAACAAGGGTGTCGAAACAGCTCATCACTTACATAGGGTGATGGCGGCAAGTTATCCGGCTCGACCTGCTGCGGCATACTAGTCCATATTGCCACCCACCGGTGGTCGGTGCCAGTCCCTTGCCGAGCACTTAGTAACCCCGAAGCAGGCGTCAGGGTCGAAGGGGCGGCATCACTTCGGGCCGAGAGTAACAGGGCCGCAATGGCCCCGCGCAAAAGGAGGCGAAGACTGGGCGCCATTGCGGTCTTGGTGTGATGCTTTGTCGGCGACAACGGTACCTACTCTTCTATCTCGGAGAAAACTAGATGTTGTCCCTGACCAGCATCCAAGTAGCCCACCACACCCTTTAATAGGTCTTTCTTCCATCACGTATGTGTGATCATCAGCCGTGACCCTGACCGGATTGGGGTGTGGACCAAGCGCATAACGATGCTTGTATTTTATCCAAAGTTGCTCTTTATCCTGGCTCTCCTGGGGGTGGTGGTGTTGTTTGAGCCTGCAAATGGTGGATTATTAGCGACTCTACTCCTCAGCGGGACACGCCCTTGTCCGTTTTTCTCGATCCGCTTGTCAGGGAGACCCGAGGAGAATATGTTGCCGAGAATACGGCAGTGGAGGTCCTATCCATCCCAGGCGCGGGTGCCAAATCCCACCAATTGAGCTGCACAGAGAAAGCAGGCACCTCAGAGGTAAGAGTGCCCAAGCGTTCTCAATGTGCGATCAGACTGCAACAAGGAAGAAAAAGAAACCCAGTCAGCCCAAACTGCTCCAGCACGCCCACCAAATTATTTCAGGGGCAACATAACCACTCCCGCGACACCCTTCTCGAACCTGCCGGCGGCACCATGGTGTATTACCAGGCGGCCTGCATTGCTGCAACTCTCTTCTTGTCGGGTATTTTATAGATGAAGCGTGGGAAACATTCGAAAGCAGTGTCCAGAGTTGTCACCTGAAGGCATCAGCCCGGAGCCAGGGCGAGTACTTGATTGCTACCGCTAGAAACCATTGGATCGAGTCGTGTCGAGGACCCATGGCAGCTGGGGCAATCAGCCCAATCGGGAGCAGGAACACTCCGCACCGGCCACATTCGTATCGATAACCCCGCAGCCCCGCAAGGAGCAGAGAATGTCCAAAGGATCTTCCTCAAGCATCTTGTTCAGGATGTCTGCAATATAGAAGGCCTTCCCTCCACGCCGCCACTTATACCAGCCAGGCAACTTGCGACAAGGATGGCGCACCCGAAAACGCCCGACTTGGTGCGTGAACTTCATGGCGATCTCAAGCGGAAGTATCAGCAGCACGGCGCCAGAATCGAGGCAATATGGCGGTCATTGAACAGGGCTCAACGAGAACGCTGCATCAAAGCGGGCGCCATGGACGGCGTCGTCCTGGCCCACTCTCTGGACCAATCTCTTGGGAATGTCTGCAAGTTCATCCCGGAGTGGAATCTGAGGGACTTGGCAAAACCCGGGTCGGACTTCCTTCTGCACCTTCTCAAGCACCGGTCGACGACCTCTCTCCACGAGCAATACTGGGAAGGTATCGCGGGTGGGCCTGGTGATCACCAGCTCATCAGCGAAATGATGCGCACGAGAGGCCTCCGCCATGTCGATTCGTTCAAGGATTGTTACACTATGTTTCTGGCTGACGAACAATATGGCTTCTCTTTCGAGGTCGTAGAAGAGAAGGACAAAGTCATGGCTACTCTCACACCCGCCATTCAGGCGGGCTCTGTCGTCCCTCAGGCGACCGGAGAGCTAGTCCTACAGAGACAATTGTATACGTTGACGTCGCTGGTCATAGTCATTGACGACATCCTGGAAGAAGGCTCCAAGACCAGAGCAAACAAAGCGCTGCCAAAGAAGCCCGACATGGCTGCTACAGCTGCCCTCGCCAAGATGTCGATTCAACCATCGGCCCCAAGGAAGCTCCAACTCTCCGATATTGTCGTCAGTGCCAGGGATCAGAGAGCCTCTATCGAAGAATACCTTCGCCTTCTGTCCACAGAGCCAGTTGTCCTCACTCATGTGGTGAACTTCTGGTTCTACAGCCGACCAGAACTCGTGCCCGACGAGAAGGGGCGCATCATACCTGTTTTAACCGGCAAGTACCTTAGCGCCGCGGTGTTCGATGCAGTTCACAGCCTCGTCAAAGGCGCCGCCGTCTGGACGTACATAGGCCGCCTGCTCGACCTCCTCAGCGACCCGAACATGGACAGGGTTTGGCGTGGAATTGTACTGCAGGAGGTTTCCAACATCTGCCATTTGGAGTATGGCCGGGCGCGCTCGCAATTCAGGCGTAGCGTCCAGCCCCGCATCGGTGCCAAGTGGTTCAAACGGAGCTCCAACGCATATGACCGAGCCGGCAACGCTCGTGTTAGCATGAAGGGATCCCCGGAAGACCTGACCCGCGCCGATCCACAACTTCATTACGTGCTCCGCCTCTGCCAGGACACGACCGATGCCTCCAAAGCGGTCGACTGGATCACGAAGTTGACCGAGTTGCACGAAGCCCACCCCGAAGAGCGGAAGAGACTGTCCAACGAGGAAGCCGACGCTCTTTCTGATCTCGCCGCCATTATCGGATTCACCTGGGAGGTCTCGCCCGCGATCTCGATGCCTCCTCTGTCACGCAAGAAGGGCCAGCTATTTGTTTCGCGATCCCAGGACCTCGAGGCGGAGCTCAACATGGCCAGAAAGGAGGTCGATCTTCGTGACTATGTACTTCCCATCGACAACCTCCTGGAGCCCGGAGTGGCGAAGGCAGCCCTGGGAGCGCTTGATCAGTTCGTCGTCGACAAAACTGGCACCAAAATGGGATTTCTGTACCAGGATCTGATCGAGGAATGCTTGTCGGATCTGCAGAACCAATACCAGCATATCAAGGCCCAGACGGATACGAAAAAGAGTACACCTATGCCGGCGCCGACACTGCAGCCGACGGAGAAGCTAGTGGAAGAGCGGAAGCAAAAAGAGAAGACGCGACCTTCGGCTACCTGCGCCTTCGAGCTCGTGGCCACTCCTGAGCCGTCACCCCCTCCGCCAGCGTCACCATTAAAAGTGGCATCCTCAACAGCTGAAGTTTTTCTGACCTTTTTCAATAAGTCAGAGTCACGCGGCTCAGTGAGTTGGGCTGCTTTCGAAGCGGCCATGAGCGATCTTGGCTTCTCCGTCTTGCCCAAATTCGGTTCCGTCTACACGTTCCAACCGCCCGAGGGAATGGAGATACAGAGGCCGCTGACGCTGCACCGACCACACAAATCTCACGTCGAGGGGTACATGATCCTAGTCCTGGCGCGAAGGTTGAACAGGGCGTATGGATGGGACCAAAGTACTTTCGAGGTGGCGTGAGCCGAAAATTGACGCCATAAAGGAAAAGCCGGCGTCCATGACCCAAGGCTAGGAGTGGCGGCGTCCACTGCTAGTCGGCACAGCGTAGCCGAATTTTGACGGCGATATGTCATTGGGTTGAAAGTGCAATGTCCGGCAGGGTGTGGCCTGACAGCCATGGATCACCAATCAACAACGGCTGCTAGCTGGCACCCACTAAAATGCGGGCTGCATGTATTCGTTTTGGAGTTGTGATATTATCCCACGACACCCCAGATGTTGACTCTCTGCTTCAATGTACCCGGAGTACTGGCCCAGAACCATTTTAGACAACTGGAACGAGGTAGCCACGGGGCCTGATCAAATGCTTATGTGCTTCCGGGACGCTTGCGGCGAACTCTGAGACGGCTGGATTGGGGTCAGTCTGGCAGACATGCCCGGCATTTCATCTGTTCGGGCCTAGGCCGACTGGGGACAACGCCGGAAGCTCCCGGGTGGCACATCGCCAGTGGGTGGCTTGGGGCATCTGATAACGGCCTGTCTCATTGGTAGGTGATCTGCCGGTGGTTCGCCGCTATATGATAGAAAGGATGAGGGTATATCGAACCGGTCACATTCAAGGGGCGCGCGGGTAACGGCCAGGGAGCCATTCAAGAGGCTCGTTTGTATATAAAGCTACTCCACCGTCTGGATTCACCCGGATTCGGACCGGAAGAAGCCATTGCTCACATGGCAGAGCGTGTGGAATACGGCATTGCCATCCCACTATGAGCCCTCTACGCGTCGCTTTTAATATGGACAGTGGTTCAGCTATCATCGGGATTGGTCAGATTCTCCCACCGCAATTCCCCAACTTGGAGTGATATTAACCGCCAGCGCAACGCTCGCTTCGGCAGACGCGGCTGGGCGGAATCTCTTGGCTGCCATAAGCTTTTGGGTGTGCATTTCATATCACACTCTTTGTTGGGGGGCAAAAAGGGGGCAAACCACCGTTAGGATGGGCATGGGACGCGAGGTGATATAAACCAACGAACTCCGATATTTCCGCCTGGGAGAATCTTCCCATAAACCTGGCGATTTCTCACATCTTCCTCCATCGACCCGCCTGAGAAGCCTCTCGCGCCCTCCCCCTTCCACCAACAAGTCCTTGTGTCTCCCCGCTATCCAAGCGACCTCGCTCTCCTTCCCAGGTCCCAACCGACACCAAGATGCTTCTTAAACCTCTTGTGGCTGCAGTGGCGGCCATTAGGCTCGCCGCCGGCCAAGAGCTGATGCGGTTTGGATGCTCGCAGCTCGTCGTCGACCGCCTGGACCCGCTGGTCAACCCGGGAGCGGTCCCATCTCCTCACATGCACCAGATTGTGGGCGGCAACTCGTTCAACGCCTCCATGGCACCGGTCGACCATGACCCGTCCAAGGTGTCGAGTTGCACCAGCTGCACCTATTCGGGTAAAGCCTCTCTGGGGAGCCCCTTTAAATATAATGACTTGAATGCTGATGGCGGAGGACCTGCAAGAGGACTTCTCCAATTACTGGACCGCCAACGTCTACTTCCGTGCCCGTAACGGCTCCTTCAAGCGCGTGCCCCAGGTCAGCAACCTGGGCCTGAACGTCAAGGGCGGCATCACGGTCTACTACATCCGGGGCTACCAGTCGGCCGCTCGGGTGTCGTCATTCAAGCCGGTAGGCGTGCGCTCCTAAGTCAGGAAAGATGGTGACGCTGCTGACTGACCCCATCCTGCGGCCAGGGCTTCCGCATGCTCGTCGGCGACCCGCTGAACAAGTCCCCGACTGCCCAGCAGCGGCAGCTGTGCTTCCGTTGCGAGGCCAATATGCAGCAGAACCCATTCGGTATTTGTCCTGCATGACACCACTCATCTGCCTGTACTTTGACTGATATCAATGCTCCTTCAAAGGTGGCGCGCCCTGCTCGGGCTCCGACACCAAGGAGTTCCCCAAGCAGCCCTGCGGCGGCGGCTGGAGGGTTAGCATCCACTTCCCTTCGTGCTGGGACGGCAAGAACCTCGACAGCCCGAACCACCGAGACCACGTGGCGTACCCCGAGCGCGGCACCTTCGAGTCCGGCGGCGCGTGCCCAAGCTCCCACCCGGTCAAGGTCCCGCAGGTATGTGGCCGCCTTGCCCTGCGATGATATTCTAGCTGACACCTCCCGCTCCGAGTACAGCTCATGTATGAAGGTAGGATAGCGCAAACCTGATCGACATGGTGGTCGACGACCAAGTCTAATATTCTTGCTGACCCTACCGATGATAGTGATGTGGGACACGCGCGCCTTCAACAACAAGGCCGACTGGCCCATCGACGGCTCGCAGCCCTTCTTCTGGAGCAACGGCGAGCGCACGGGGCTGGGAAACCACGGCGACTACGTCTTTGGCTGGCAAGGCGACGCACTGCAGCGCGCCATGGATGGCAAGTTTCCCAACAGCCCGAACTATATCTAACATGGGGTCTGGGTGTTTGGCCCGTACTAACGCTTGTCAACCGGTTTAGGCAAGTGCTCGGGTGACAGATGTCGTCCTCTCAAGAGGCAAACGGACGCGCAAGCCATCGCCTGCACCAAGCAGCGCGCCTATCCCGAGGAGATCGGGGATGTCTGTAAGTGGACCTTAGTGGCTGTGTCGTTGACGTTGCCGCGTATCATGGACGTCAGGCTAACTGTCTTCCGCAGGGCTCAAAGACATTCCCGGACAGTCGGCGGCAAACTACCTTTGAGTGCGCCGGAGGGAATATCAACGTGACCTTGAGTCTGCACGCACGTTTGCACGCATCCCTTCTTTCTCAAGAGATCTATCCTGGGAATCATTCGTTTCTTGTTCGTTGAAGGTTTGGGCCCAGGGCGTAAGCAAAGCGCTCACGCTCGCGCCCTGTGTCCACCCTTGGTTTCTGTCCTTACGGAGAACTGTGATTATGGCTAGAAACGCTCGTTTATATGGATGGATTTGCGTATTACCGACATATTTCTCGAATGCCATGCAAACTACGTATTCACAGTCGACAAAGTCGTCGCCGCCAGGGCAGTTTGGGTCTGATGGCAGTGGGCGAGTCCATTGAGTTTCTTGATAAACGCCGATGGTATCGTTGGAACGGGTCAACTGGACTCCCCGGAAGAATGTTTTAGCAAAATTTGCGTCACTGCCAGTAGCTATCCAATCCAACAGGAATGTTCTCGGGAAGCATTTCCAAAGCTACGAATGCTCGGAACCATCAACTAAGCCGTACCCTCAATCTTTAGTAACCACCAGGGACCCGATGACAGGATGGTCGGGATGAGGTCAAGGCTTATCTTCGCTTAAATCCGGGCCGTCTCCGTCGCGCCGGTTCGCGGAGGCCCTAGCCCACTTTAGCGGGGTTGCGGTTCAGTGTCGAATGCCACCATCCCTATACGCCATGGCGTATCGATGCGGACTCTCCTGGGAAATCTAGACTGGAGGGACACGGTGCCGGGATTGGCTCGAGGCTACACAGGAAACGAGATCAACGAGTGCCACTTACTGCCAAGAAATAAATGATTCGAGAGCTGACTGGCCGTCTGGCATAAGAATTGGGCAAGAAAATATGGGTGGTTCCAGCAGGTTCTGAACCGTGCTGGCCTTCTCACGTAAACTCCCAGACCCCAACTCGTGTTAAGGCACCCACGCGGACATAATAAGACTCCTCCAAGACCGCAAAGTCAACATCGCCAACAGTCCTCATCCAGCATACTGCCAAGAGGACCCGATAAGCAAAATGGCCAACGTCACGGCAACGCAAAAGACCTACACCCTCAACACCGGGGCCAAGATCCCCGCCGTCGGCCTGGGCACCTGGAAGTCCAGCGCGGACGAGGGCAAGGCGGCGGTCGAGGCGGCGCTGGCGGCGGGCTACCGGCACATCGACACGGCCGCGGCCTACGGCAACGAGCGCGACGTCGGCGCCGGCATCAAGGCGTCGGGCGTGCCGCGCGACCAGGTCTGGCTCACCACCAAGCTCAACAACCCGGACCACAAGCGCGTGGCCGAGGCGCTCGACGAGAGCCTGGCGCGGCTGCAGACCGACTACGTCGACTTGTACCTGATGCACTGGCCCTCGAGCCTGGACCCCAACAACCCGGGCGCCGTCTACGATGACTGGGACTACGTCGACACGTGGCGGGAGATGCAAAAGGCCCTGGCCTCGGGCAAGGCGCGCGCCATCGGCGTGTCCAACTTTGGCGTCAAGCAGCTGGAGCGCCTGCTGGCCGACAAGGGCACCACCATCGTGCCGGCCGTCGACCAGATCGAGCTGCACCCCGCCAACCCGTCGCCTAGGCTGGTGGCCTACCTCAAGGAGAAGGGCATCCACGCGTCGGCCTACTCGCCGCTGGGCAGCTCAAGCTCGCCGTTCGGCAGTAACGCGGCGCTCAAGTCCATCGCAGAAGCCAAGGGCAAGGCGCCGCAGCAGGTGCTGCTCAAGTGGGGGCTGCACCACGACTTCAGCGTCCTGCCCAAGAGCGTGAGCAAGGCGCGCATCGAGTCCAACTTTGCGGGCCTCGACGGCTGGGACCTGGGTGAGGACGACGTCAAGGCGCTCGACGGCATCAAGGACCGGTACAAAGCGTGCGGCGACGGCTGGCTGCCCAACACCGTCTTCTATGACGACGACGAGTAGCGGGTGGGGTCCTGAAGGGGAGGGTTCAGGAAGCGAGAGCGGAAATTAAAATCAAGATGTACCATCGGGTGGACCATAATAGAAAGACCTTCGCCAGCCACAGTCGCTGCATGTCAAGCTGAACTTGATGTTTCGAACGGCTCGGACTTTGGGGTTCCATGCCGAGGAGGCACTGTAGCAGGATCCGACGACGGTTGCCATCTTGGCAAAGTTAGCCTCGGTATGGACCTAGAGGTGGGGGATAATCGGAGCCCCTGGGTTTCACCCCTCATCTGCATCTGGCCTACCCCCAACTTACGAGCCGACGTGATCGCATCGCCGCAGCTGCAAATCGCGTTCCAGACCGTGTGTTTTATTTTTTGGTTACTGTTTACTCAGAAGGCCCAACCCAACCAGAGAACCGACCACCTGGAAAAGCAATTCACCAAAAACAGGCTCATAGAGCAGCGGCAAACATCAATCAAGACCACAATGACCATCAAACTCGCCAAAGACGACGAGCTATTGCAGGCGCTGGCCGCCAGCGGGGGGCTCAAGGGGCACAACCTCCTGATGCTACTCCCTTCCGGCTTCCAACCCGACGCTGCCAGACTGGACGAGCTCAGGGCCAAGTATCCCGGCCTCCAGATCTCGGTGCACGAATCGGCGTGGGGGAACACTGTGGTGCCGGAGTCCGTCTCGGGCTCGGGCGACGGCTTCGGGTGGGAGGACGTCACCATCTTGGCGACGGGCACGGCGCTGCCGACGCGGGAGCAGGCGCCCAGGCTGCAGTACGTGCAGCTGATCAGCGCCGGCGCCAACCACGTCCTGCAGAATCCGCTTTTCGACGACGAAAGCATCGCCTTGTGTACCGCCAATGGTGTGCACGGGTGAGTCGCTCGCGTATGCGCTTGTTGCATAGGTAGTGGTGTAACGGCTGACACGAGGCGCCCGCCACGCTAATCTCCAGGCCGCAGATTTCCGAGTGGATCATCAGCACGTTCCTGAGCTTTGAACACCATCGTGCGTGCTGTCTCGTCCATGCGTGTGTGACTGCCCCTGACGACATTTACTAACATAACCCTTTGACGGACTGCATGCAGTCCCCAGGTACATTGAGAAGCAAAAAGAGGGCAAATGGGATCCATCATACGACGGAGTTGACGACGCGGTGGGACGCCGGGTGTAGGTCTGGCCCTCCTTTCCGGCCTAGCCCAGGGCACTCCATGAACTAACCAGCCCACAAACCACCAGCGGCGTCCTCGGCTACGGCAGCATCGGGCGGCAGGTGGCCCGGTTGTGCAAGGCGCTGGGCATGGATGTGCACGCCTACACGCTACACCCGCGCGAGACGCCCGAGTCGCGGCGCGACGACGCGTACGCGCCGCCGGGCACGGGCGACCCCAACGGCGAGTTCCCGTCCAGGTGGTTCTCGGGCGGGTCCAGGGCGGACCTGCACCGCTTCCTGTCATCGGGCCTGGACCTACTCGTGGTCTCGGCCCCGCTGACCGACAAGACGGCGCACCTCCTGGGCGCCGACGAGTTCGCCCTGCTAGGAGAGGGCAACGGGAAGGGAAAGACGTTTCTGTCCAACATTGCGCGCGGCAAGGTCGTCGACACGGACGCGCTCGTCGCGGCGCTCGAGGGCGGCGTGCTCCGCGGCGCCGCGCTCGACGTCACGGACCCGGAGCCCCTGCCCGAGGGCCACCCGCTGTGGAGGGCCAAGAACGTTTGTATTACACCGCACGTCAGCGCGGCCTCGTCCAAGCTCGGCCCGCGCATCCTGAGCATCCTCGACATGAACCTCGGGCGCTTCAGCCAGCGCAAGCCCCTGGCGAACCGCGTGAACCGGAAGGAGGGGTACTAGAGAGGGTGGAGGGCACGGGGTGGTGACGAGAGGCAAGCGCTGGGCGGCCCCGAGATTGTGACCTCAGGGGAGGAGGGGATCCGACTTGGAAATGGCATCGCACTAAAGGCTGAAGTTTGCAATCGTCAGGTCCAAGTTTGACCGTCATGTTTCTGGACCCTGAATTCCATCGTGGCAAAAACCAAAGCCGTCAATGAAATTGCTAAGACCCCTAAAACCCACCAGCATCAAACGCGCCGCCCCGCTCCAGCTCCAGTGTGCCTCTCAGTTCACCTCTTGACGTCATCTAGTGACGCAGGGGCCCCACCAAGCAGCAAAAGACCCGACCCCAGCCCTCCGCGTCGAGTGCTGACAGGTTTTTGCCAACGACGATCCTCGCGATGATCGTTCGAAAACGCAATCCAAGCAAGCTTGTCTGCGGCCAAGTGACACCAAGTGCCGTGGCTTCCTGCACCCTTTGATCAGACTGCAACGCCGTGTGCCGTGCGTCGCAACTCGAGAGCTGGTGATGTCAACGTTTCCAACTTTTCGTCGGCGCAGGGATGAAGACAACGGCAACGGCTGATGGGCCTCGGGAAGTATTAATAATGTCCAACCCTCTGGGAGGAAAGCTGAATGTGACATTACTCTTCTGCATTAAACTCGCATAGAACCAAAAGATCACCAATTATACCCCTTTTATCTGCCAATTATACCCGTTCTCGTCTTGTCTTGAGAAATCCTTTTTTTGTAAACTCGCAACTCCCACCCAAACACACTTGTCAGCCACCATATCACACTCCTCAAGATGGGTCTCGGGACCAAGATTAAGAACGCTCTGCACGGCGACGACCGCCGCAGCCCCAAGGGGTCTGGCGAGTACGAGGATGGCCACCTGCCTGGCTCCTTCCCCTCCGACACCGACCCTTCCACCAAGACAACCAAGCACGCCCAAGACCCGTCCTTGACCGGTAGGACAAGCACCGACGGCCTCAACGCATCATCAACCCTCCGCAAGTCGCAGCACCGCCACAAGAAGTCCGACTCGGGCGTCGACTTTGACGGCGCTGAACCCGCCTTCGACTCTAGGCGGCAGCCGGGCGTCGGCTTTGCCGACGACGCCGAGATCGAGCAGCCCCAGCCCGTCAAGCCCGCCAACCTCGGCAACAACGCCAAGCGCGACCCGTACTGGGGCACCATCAACAACACCCGCGGCGCCGGCGTCGACGGCCACGACAAGGACCTCCCGCTGCGTCCGGGGAGTCAGGGCGGCGGCCCACGGGACGTGTACGCCAAGGACTTTCTCGGCACCACCAACGGCAACAACGGCAGCATGCTGAACAACGGCAACACGCTGCCCAACGTCAACGGCGCCGAGCGCGACCCCTACTGGTCCAATGGCAACGCCGCGGGCCTGGACGGCAGCGCCTACGGCGTCAACGGCTACGGCAGCAACGACACGTACAACTACAACTCAACCCCAGGCACCGCCATCAGCGGCGACTACCACAACAACAACAACGGCGTCGCGCTCCGCAACGGCCACCAGGCCACCCGCGGGCTCGGCAACGACCCCCACGACGTCAACGGCTCCGGCCTCCACGACCGCGGCATCAGCGGCAGCGGCACCACCAGTCTCGACGACGCCCGCATCCGCGACCGCGACATGGGCCGCAGCACCGCCGGCGCCGGAGGGTACGGCACCGGCACCGGCACTGCCGCCGGCGTCAGCGGCATCGCGGCATCCGAGGCCGCCCGCAAGCACCACGAGGCCGACATGAGGGACGCCGGCTACCACAGCGGGCCCAGCAGCGGCGGTAGCCCGACCAGCGCCGCCCGCCTGAACGGCAGCAGCGTCGGTGGCGCCAGGGCCGCCTACGGCCGCAGCGCTGGGGGGTCCCCGCCGCGGATGCAGCAGCAGGGCCCCGTTGCTGGGAACTCCGCCTGGCAGCAGCAGCAGGGGCAGCAGCCCCCTTCAGCGATGCACTTCGGCCCCGGTGCCCACAACGCCGCCCGCGTGCTCCACACGTGCACCAGCTGTGGTGTCGACAACGACATTAGCCAGTACTTCCGCCCCGATGTCGCCTACCGCCTGGGGCAGTAAGGTGGGAGTTGTGGAGTTGGAGTGTAATTGTTGAAATACTTGTACCATCAATTCAGCACATAGTCTAATTGTCTTCACTGTTTTATTTCGAGGAAAAACGAGCGACGCAAGAGCGTGTGATTGGTTCCTTTAAACATATATCAATCAATGTCCGTATCACCTTAACTTATCTCACTAACTCGCTCTCCATGGCCAGACCACTCCTCAACACTATGTGTTGCAGGCAGAAGGGATAAGCACGGTGTGAGGCTATTCCGGTTGATATGCTTTAAAGAGGAAGGGATTTGAGGTGCAGGGCTCCGTAGGAGCCTTTGCCCTTTATATACACGTAACTCCCGTGTCCTCCTTGCTTACTAAGCTTCCCTCCTAATGCCTGGAAGCGTCATACGCTCTCAGGCAGAGGGACCGCTCTTCCGATGCCTCAGGCATCTGCTATCTACGCCTGAGACCTCTCCTCTACAGTATATACTGTCTTCTTTGTGACACTATGTGATTGTGATCTTTTGTGTAATAACCCTACGACAGCCACCTTTTATCCGACACAGGATGTTGGTCATTTATCTGCAGTAAAGCACTGCCGCCAATGTTGGAAGGCGGTGACGATCCATGCACGATACAAAGGAGCGCACCGATCCGGCGTCGGCTCTGTATTGTCGTCGTCGTCGTTGCCTCACATCACTTTCCTTCTTGCCTGGATGGCTGGCAGGCGTCTTCTGTGGCTGGGGCAGAGTCATCACCCGTTACCTTCCCCTCCTTTTTTCTTCTTTTTCTTCTTCTTTTTCTTCTTTTCCTTTTTGCCGGCTACCTCCACGGGACCGCCTCCCTTGCTGCTGCTGGAGGTTTTGCCTTTCCCTGGTGCCTTGCTCTTAGCTGAAACGTTCACAGGGAGCTTTGTTGGGGCCTTCCCATTCTTCTCTGCGAGATCCTTTCCTAGCGTCTTCTCTTCGCGAGTAGCTTTTTCCTTCGCAGCAGAGTTCAATGGGAGCTTGACTGAAGCCCCCTGCTTGCCAATCACATTGCCTTCTTGGGCTCCCTCCTTTCTCTCCGACTTGCCCTTGCTGTCTGACTTGACAGGGACTTTGCCTGTCGCCTCGCCCTTCCCAGGTGTCTCGTCGGTACCAGTAGGCTTAGTTACAAAGTTCGCTGAGCTCTGGTCCTTGCTCGTCGTCTCGACTCTGATGGACATAGCAGGTGGGCTGTTTGGTCTCTCTTCTCGGCCGACTTCCTGGAATATGGTGATCTTGAGGATTTCCCGGGTAGACGCCTCTGGAGCTCTGACGGGACCCTTCCCAAGAGCTCTGGGAGCCTGGGAGACGCACCCAAGCTTTTGGCGGAGCCGGTTGCCACAAAGGTCACAACAGACCAGTAGGGTGCTGAGAAAGACATGGTTGCAACGCGAAGGCAAATGGCGCATCAGACTTCTGCATCGAGCCCAGAAGAGCGGAAAGAAGCGTCTCGTGATTGCCCCCGCAACGGGGAAATTCGGATGCGGGTTCTGCTGTGGCCGCCCGAGCTTCCCAGTAGGTTGGTCCGCCTGTGACCGAGCGGAAGCATATGATGGCTTGTATGTGATCACCGGGGGCGCAGCAGCTCCCATGGGCTTTCCTTGCGAGTAGCCGCCGTACTCGCCTGGCTTGGGTGTGGTGTTGAGCTTTGCGGGAGATTGGTTGTGAGTCCAGACGCCAAGAAACCTGGCGTCATTGGAACCCGGCGCGTGCTCGTAAAAAAGCCTGTCGTTGTGGGTATCAGATGCCTGCTTCTGGGCCTTCGTGGAAGCTAGCCACGATACTCCCACTCCCCCCTGTTGCCTTATGGGAATGTGTTGGACGTGTTTGGGACCTGGGTGGCTACGCCAGAGCGGATCGAAGCCGGCAGGAAGGCGAGAGCGGGACAGGTCAAACGGGTATGGGTATCTATCTTCGGCCTCCGGGAAGGTACCGTCGAAGAAGCGGCCGCCCGAGCCGAGAGGGTTACAATTCCGGTATCGGGCACCTGCCTCGATTTCGCGGTAGAGGTAATCCGGCTGATAAACCACTGCATGTGTGTTAGCTTGCTCCCCCGGCTAACCAGGCACACATCTCCGAGCAGATCTTACCGGGTGGATCGTTCGCGTTTCTCCCTGGAACCTCCTAAGGTCCAGTTGGTGGATCGTGAACTGTGAATGTAGCGGTCACTCGTGGAGCACCGTCACATCCGACTCCTGTGGAAACATCAAAAACCGACGGTCCGACTTGCTTGCTGTTCTGGATCAAGGATGCGGCATGGTTGCCCTTGTTGGACCTGGGCCCGGGTATGGGTGCTTGTGGTGATGGCGGAGTTGCTCGCACGATTCCCGGAGTGGCGACCCGGACGCCGAATAGCAAAGTGGTGCCGTGTGCTGCTGAGGAAACCCGGGCGAACGGGCGAGGAAACCATGGACGAAGAGGCATGGGGGTAGATAAATTGATGGTGCTTGCATGTCCAGGTAGACTGCCGCGATGGTAATGGCCGATGCGAACACTGGGCCAATATCAGCTTGTACCTGGGTTTCAAGGGAATAAAATGAGGGCAGAAAGTTGAGGGAGGGATACGAATAAATATGGCAGTTAGCACCAAATGGACGTCAAGATTTACAAACGGAGGATAAATATAGGATCTCAGTTCTGCTAGAGTTGGCAGGCTGCGCGTGATGACTAGGAAGTTCTGTATAGCTCCAGCGTTTGCCGTTTGTCATGTAGACGCTGCTGCCCGTGACTATGTTCGTGCACGGCAAGGCCCTATCCCTGCCAAGCCTGTGTCGACAGTTCTGGCGGCTGCGCGATGACAGACCAAACACCGTTCTGTCCATGGGGATTCGGGAGCTGTAGCTGAGACGAATCCAGAAGCTAGTGGAAGGGCCGCACGTCTGGACGGCGATCGTTCGCATGCGAACGCCAAGGCCATGATCGATGCGATGCCGCAGGTAACTTCTCGTCACGCCGAGGGGAGACTCAACCGGATATCTTCGACTCCCTATAGCCTAGCCTTCTAGGCATCTGACTGAGTCCCTTACTCGGGATAAAAAAAATAGTGGAAGCGTGTTTCTTGGACCGATTTTCCTGGGCTGCGTAGCGATCGACAAGCTCTGATATGGTCAAAACACGTCTTCTTAGTATATCGCAGCGGGAGGACAAAGGACAGAACCAGACCTTCACACCTTCTAGTTTGGCTCAATAGATTGTACTTGTGACGAGAAATCATGTCTGCTGCGGGCAGTGCCATGCTGAACCAACAATGTATATCCGTAGTCTAATACCGGCCGTTTTCGTACAGCCACGGCAATGTGTTCACTTGCGCAACAGCCAGTCTAGCACAGTGGCGGCTGCCAAAAGCTTCTCCTCCTCGAGCTTCCGGCCAACCAACTGCACCCCAACAGGGAGACGCATCGATGCCATGTCCTCCTTGTTGCCTGTCCATAGCTTTTTGGTCCACTCGTCCGTCCCGTTGCGTGGCTCGAAATCCCACTCTGCCGAAAGGTCCTCCTGGGCGACGTTTCCGCCAGGGATCACCATGGCCGGGTAGTCAAGCAGATTCCAGACCTTGGTGTACCCTACCCATTTGCACCCACCGTGCGGGACCGCCGAATGCGGCATCGGAGGCATTATGAGAACGTCGGCGAGCTTTCCAGACTCGGGAGAAACAAGCGAGTTCCACTTCTCCAGGTAGGCTTGTTGCAGGTCCCACTTCCGCCTGTTCAGCTGCCAGTACTCGTACACCGATATGGCGTCGCCCCGATCAACCAGGTGCTGGACGTGTGGAATGAGAGGCTCGCCTCCGGCTGCGATATCATTGCGGATATCCTCACAGCCGTCAGCGGTGTAATACTCGTCCTAATAATCACAGAAAAAGTTAGCGTGCTGATTCAGGGCCAAGTGTGGCCTTTCGGGGTGATGAGAAATGAATACCATTAGCTCGGTACAGTCCGAATGCAGATGTGCATTCCACTCAAATACCTCGTGGCCAGCATCCTGGAGCTCCTTAACAGCTGACTTCAGGACGCGAGAGATGGGCGGATGAGGTCTGACAACCTCGTCGTCGTACAACACCGCAACGACAAGAGGACGGTCTTGGATCTGCTTGAGAATATCCTCGCGCCAGGGGATCGGGGCGCAGCGCGCGTCTACCTCCCAGGGCTTGGCTCGGACCAGTGACTCCATCGCCACACGGATCGTGCGGACGCTTCGAGCCAGCGGCCCAACTGACGAGGGGACATGTTCTTGGCCCTCGGTAGATACGGGGACGCCTCTGTAGGGAAGGCGGGAGCTCTATGGAGATGATGGGCGAATCAGTTCATAGAGCATCCCGATCGCGCCAAGAAAAACCACGCAATGGCACTGGGGGCTTGGTAGACTCGAATTGGGCTTACAGTAGGCTTGAAACCATATAGACCCATCATGTGCGCTGGGATGCGTATGGAACCCCCAATGTCGGTACCCCAGCCAAGCATGGAGGCTCCCTGCGAAAGGAGCGCAGCTTCGCCGCCGGTTGACCCGCCAGGAGTATAGCCTTTGTGCAGCGGATGTGTCGTCAACCCCCAGAGAGGATTCTCCGTCTCGCACCACTGCGTCAATCGAGTTGGTAGGTAAGTTAGGTGATCCATAGGCCTAGAGGAAGTATAGGGCTAGGAGGACACGGGCATGCGTACCATGATACTTTGCGGCACGTTGGATTTGGCAAGGATTATCGCGCCAAGTGAGCGCAGCATCCAGACTAGGACGGCATCGTCGACAGCAGGCTTGAAACACCTCCCCACGTATCCCAGGGTGGTGTCAACGCCAGCAATGTTAAACTGGTCCTTGAGAGTTACTGGGATTCCATGCAATGGGCCTGCTAATGTCTCGTTCTTTTTGACGTGATCGTCCAGCGCGACCGCTTGACTAAGAGCATCTTCAAAGACCAACTCGGTCAGGCTTTTGGCACAGTTGAGCAGTTAGCTAAGAGGATATTCTGGCGTCTTGAGTTGGTCGTTGCTGCCACCACTCGCGCCGACTAGGCTTACCAATTTGTCTAGGATATCGGCAATATTTGTTACGTTAACAGTCTGCCGAGGACACGCTCAGAGCGTGGCTTGAGACTGCCACAGAGCTTTTATCTGTCTGCGGGACGTTGGGGAGTACCTTATCGTGCGTTGTGCATGCTCTGCGGGTCACGTCCACCTCGTGCAGTTTAGGGTACTCGTCAATAATCACATCTTAAACACTGCGAGAGAAAGGAACGCCCTTTTCTGGTTGCCGACCTTTGGATGAAGGCCTTGGTGGTCTCGACGCAGCTCAGATCTCCACGCTCAAATCCTTCGAGAAGCTCAGCAACGTCGGTTCCGGGACCAATAGATAGCTTGGCGTCGGCATCGACACCAGCCAAGAAGCCTTGGATGACTTGTTTTCGTTGGTCGAGCTTGCGACGCACCGTAGCCTGCCACGGCGCAGGGGTGACGGCCTCTTCCTCTGCCATGTTCTTGGCGATCACAGGGTGTGCCGTGTGGTTTGGATTTTGGATCGTGGCAGATCGGTCGGCACAAAAGGTCCCAGAAATTCGATACAACAGTTGAGCCTGGGATGTGTGTGGCAGGCATTGACGGGCGGCTCCCTGGTTGAGGAGGCACTGGGAGGGTGGGGAGTCATGTGCGTGCGCCTTCCATCACTGACGCGGGGTCGGAGCAGGAGCTATCTGACTCCGCATCGCGCTGATCCAGTTGGAGGCCGCCGGTTTGCGGGGGGCATCGTTAAGCTCGGTCATGGGCACTGGTGTTGTTGCATCCAGGGGAGCTCGCTTGTGCCTGAAAAGAGAAGCTCACCCCTGACCATCTCTGGTGAATCGACGGGCAAGCTTACCGACTCCAAGAGCCCCGGCGCTTTTGTTTGCCGGTACCTGACACCGACAGGATCCCGTGGCGACTTACCTGAAGCCAGGGTGGCACAGGCTGGGCATGGCCCTACGGGCCCACACCTAGTCGCGGTCACTGCCGCGTCAAGATCCCCGCTGCTTTATTTGCATTACCATCTGTAGGGATACAGAACGTTAAAGCCGGCCCACCGACTGGGGGTTATTACGGGGTACAGTGGCCACATAGTGTACTACAGTGCTTTCAACTTTTTTTTTTCTTGCGCTTCAGCGTCCTTTTCCTTTTTCCCTTCCGCAAAATACCCAAAATGCAAAGGATGTAAAAAGTATTGGGATTAAACGCGCTAGCAGGCTGGGAAAGCAAATACAACGGTTAATTTATCCTATTAGCTTAAAAAAATTTAATTTTAACTTTTTTTGCGTGCTTTGGGCAGGTTCAGCTTCGCTGGTATTTACGGAAAGGAATTGGGAAAATGAAGGAAAAGCGTAAGAAAAAAAAGTTGAAAGCACTGTAATACACTATGCGGGCACTGTACCCCCTAATGACCCCGGCCGGTAGCCGACGTCAACGTTCTCTACCCCTACAGACGGTAAACAAGACACATCACAGACAATGGCTGTACGCTCCAGAAAATCAACGTGGCAGTGCTGCGAGCAAGATTTTCTGGGGAGTAGGAGGCACATCATGGTAAGGAATCATCACACAAGGAGGACGCGGCATGGACGCGCTCCTGCGCCCGCTGCTATCTGGCTGCTAGCCACTGAACTCTGATTGGACCGAGGGTTCCAATATGGCGGGTGCTTTCTCAGTGCCGCCGCCGCTCGCCTGCAGAGCAAGCGGGATTGATTGCCCAGGCGCCTCCTCTTTGGATCGTTGCGAAAAGGGCCCAAGCGAACTGTGCGACAAGGGATGCAGCTCTGCGGGTGCCCAGTGGGTGCCCAGCGGGCGGTGCCCCGGGGCATGAAGGTCGTGAACTCCGCCACACGATCCCTGTGGAACGCGAGTCAGTGTCGGCTGTCTGCCGCCAGATTCATGTTCCACCCCTGACCTGGTACTGGGCATGCTTGAACGGGGGCCAACGCGATGTGTTCACTCTGGATACGCCGCGCGTGTATAAAGTCGCGATGGTTCCGTCGTCGTTCGATGAGAGGACTTTCTTTCTCCTCAGGCTTCTGCCACACATCAATCTCTCCTTCCAGTTTCTTTCTTTCCTACCGTTTCTTTCTTATCGTCTTCTATTCTCTTACGTTCTATCTTGTTAACTTATTTTCCATCCTTTCTCTTCCATTTCGGCCCATCTTTTCCATCTTCACCACTTCTCCTCAACCGTCAAAATGCAGCTTTCCAGCTCTTTCCTCTGCATGCTCCTTGGAGCCACCGGCATGGTCAATGCTCTCAACATCAAGGCCATGTCTTTCAACATCCGATACGCCGAGAAGAACCCCAAGGGCAATGAGAAGCCCTGGGGCAAGGCCGACTGTGGCGGTAGCTGCAGGGCCCCTGGCGTGATCGGATCCATCGTCGACGCCGACAAGGCCGCATCCGCCGGCGGCGGTGCGCTCCTCCCCGGCCTCCAGGAGGTCCTCGACGACCAGCGCAAGGACATCCTCACCGCCCTCGGCAGCCAGTGGGCCTCGGTCGGCACCGGGCGTGAGGACGGCAAGGCCAAGGGCGAGTTCAGCCCCATCCTGTACCGGACCGACGTCTGGAACCTGATCGTCGAGCGCACCAGGTGGCTCTCGGAGACGCCCAACAAGCCGTCCAAGAGCTTCGGCGCCGGCTCGACCCGCATCGTCACCATGGCGATCCTGGAGCACAAGGCGACGCGCAAGCGCGTGCTGCGCGCAAACTGCCACCTCGACAACGTCAGCTCCGAGGCACGCGAGAAGGGCGTCGCCATCGCCGTCGACCAGATCAAGCAGCTGCAGGCCGAGCAGGCCGACCCCAAAGCCATGCTGCCCATCATGCTGACGGGCGACTTCAACGCCGACGCCAGCGACGTCGCCTACCAGAATATGGTCAAGATCGGCCTCCTCGAGGACGCCTACAACATGGTCGACGCCAAGGCCCGCAAGGGCGAGTTCGGCACCTACACCTCGTTCGAGAACAACGGCAAGGCCCGCATCGACTTTGTCTGGCTCGGCCCCCTGCCCGCCAAGCCCTTCAAGGCCACCGCCTATGAGGCCATCAACAACGTCAAGGGCCCCGTCATGTTCAGTGACCACAGGCCTGTTGTTGCCGACACCACCCTTGCCTAAATCAGGCAGTGGCGGTGTCTTCACCCCTTCAAGTTTGATGTTTGTTACGATTCAAGGTCTTGGGTTGGCTGGGGGGTGTGACTGGTGTCGTTGGTCTTGGTGCCGGAGACCTGGTTGGGCAGATTCTGTTGCCCACCGTGTACCAACTTGTATATACGGCTGTTGGAAGGATAAGATACCCCGAAATGTGTTATAGAGGTGTCATGATGCGCTCATACCCAAGAAATGTGCCAAGTATCCGTCATGCTTGCTTGTAGCTGCTGACGTCTTCCTGCGCCATGTGTGGTGGCCATGTTGCGGCAAGCCACAATCTCACTGGATGATAGCGATAAGTTGTTAATTGAGGGGTGCGAATCCTGCGGAGATGACGTCGCTGATCTTCGAGTGTCATCCAGCAACATGATGCGACAACGCGGCAGGCAGTGGTCATTGGGAAGAAATGGTGAGGAGAGTATATAAAAAGAGGCATTCTACACAGATGGAGCATGAATGTTTTCCTGCAGCTCCTTTTTCTCGACTGCATTCCACAACCTAAAGAAGAAGAAAAGCGTATGTCTACACATCTTCAAGCATACAGCAACTCATAATGTGGGTCTATCATGCTGGACGGCTATGGAGGGCCGATGATTGAAGACAACAAAATATTGACGAAATGCATCTGGGCGTCCTAGAACCCTATTAGAAAATCCATCTTCCTCAAAGATGTCGGGCATCTTCAACACCCCTCCCTCCAAGGACTCCAAGGACTCGGAAAACAACGGTGTCGCGGGCGTGGCCAAGGCGGGCACCTCGACGCTTGGCAACACCGTCTCCGGGCTCACAAATACTGTCGGCGGGGTGGTCGGTGGAGCAGGCCGCGGCCTGGGCGAGACTGTTTCGGGTATCACCGGAGGCGCGGGGAAGCCGCTGGGCGACGGCATCGGAAACGCGGCGACGGCGGTCGAGGGTGGCGGCCAGGGTGTGGCCAAGAGCTCGAGGGACGCGGGCGAGTGGAAGACGAACTGAGTGGGCATGTGCCTGAGACCGAGCCAGATCGGACTTGTCGGTTCGCTGTGGTGCTCTATGGCATGGGGTTATGCTTCAAATACTCGTGTGGTGCTTGAAAAGCCCAAGGTCTAATTGCACGTCTGCATACATGGATCAAAACGAGCGCGGATTGTGGGAGGATTTGTTTTGTCACGAAAACTCGCGAGCGACCATGCATCCTTGTTCCCATAAAATCCCACACCAGCCCGACCAGCACCGCCTAATAGTTTCTCCTTGCAGCAGCACAGAAGCCAGCGCCCATTCCACTGCCAGAGAATTCATTTACCCATTTCCCTGAGAACCGACTATTTCTTCGATTTATACCTGTTTCACCCAGTCTCGCACTCGCCATGCCCCCCAGCCCCGCACCCCCGCCGAAGCCGACGGCGGCCGAAAGACTTGCTGCCCGCGAGCCCATCCCAAAGCCCGTGCCAGCCTACCTGCCGCAACCAGGCTCCGTCCTGACCGTAGACAAGGACGCGTATAACCGCATACAGTCGGCGCCCCGCGTGCTCGTCGAGGAGTTCACGCTGCCGATCCGGTCCGGCAGGGCCTGGAAGGCGCCTGCCGGGTCCATCGTCCGCATCAGCACGCCCGAGGGGCCACAGGTTGGTAGGGCTACCATGATTCCTCCCGGCAGGCCGCTGCCCGACCTCCAGAACTGAACTTACAAGACCCCAAAATCCAGGTGACCTGAACATCTGGAACGCTCACAACCCCCGCGAGCGCTTCTGGGCCAGCCGCACGAAGCAGCTGCACTCCTCGCACGTGAGCACCCACGACCGCCTGTGGTCCTGCCTCCCCTACATGCGGCCGCTGGCCACCATAGTGGCCGATACGCTGTCGTGGTACGGCGTCGACGAGCACGGCGGCCGCGTCCACGACCTTCTCGGCACCCGCTGCGATCCCTATATCAACACCGTCCTCAGCGGCGGCACCTACGACTACCAGTGCCACAGCAACCTGACCCGCGCCGTCCTGCCGTTCGGGCTGAACGAGCAGGACGTGCATGACGTCATCAACCTGTTCCAGGTCACGGGTCTCGACGACCAGGGCCGGTACTTTATGAACCCTTGCCCCGCCGAGGCTGGTGACTACATTGAGCTGTTTGCAGAGCAGGACCTCTTGCTTGCGTTGAGTAAGTCTGCCGACTCCTTAGGCCCCGGGTCCACTAGCTTGCCCTTATGCTGCTGCCGTCGCCTCCGGGGCTTGGGCTAACAGGATCGTGTCCACCAACCATAGGCACCTGCCCCGGCGGAGATTTGTCTCTCTGGGGATTCGGGGCTGCCAGCGAGCAGGAGATGATCAAGTGCTGTCGGCCGCTCAGGGTCGAAGTGTTCGAGATCCAAGACAAGAACTTCCTAGAGGCCCAGGGGTGGAAGGCTGCGGAGCGATCCAAGTACGCCGGAGCACATGGCCTGGACATTCCAATGGGGGAGGGGCTCCCCTCCTCACGATAGCCAGGTGGCATTGTGAATTTTGGCTGCCTGGAAGGTCGCGTGGCTTAATGCGATGCTGTCAAAGGGCGCAAAAGACACGTTATTGACAAGCGACTTGACACAGTCATTTTTCCTGTCGCGACCTCCTGTGCAAATGGCTGGCCTCCAGCTCCGACACCGGCATCGGCCGACACCCCACCAAATCTAGAACCCCCTCGGCCCCACCCCCTGAACCTCGCTTAGTCGTCCTCACATCGCTGAGTCACGTTAGCCTGTGCATCTGTCATCGAAATAGAGGACGAATGACATCTATGTCTGCGCCCTTTCGACAGCTCTGCTATACATCTTGCGATAGAAAAGAAGTGTTCTAGGTCACGTTTGCATATAGGCGGGCTGCTTATATCACACCTCATGTTCTAATTGCAAAACTCGGCCATCAGGGATCGCGAAAACGGCACACCCGCCTGCGCAGGACCCTGTCATCTGGAAGCTCCGACCTCGTTCAACTCTACCTCCAGAACGAACAAAAAAAAGCTCACTTAAGATGCCCGAGAAGCCACCAACGCCACCACTGTCGACCTTGACAATCCGCAAGGCGACCACCGCCGACCTGCCACTCCTCGAACCCCTCGTCCAGTCCGCGTACCGCGGCGAGCGGAGCCGCAAGGGCTGGACGACCGAGGCGGACCTCATCGGCGGCCAGCGCATCGACCCGGCCGGGCTGCTGGCCAAGATCAACGACCCGCTGGGCACCGTATTAATCGCCTTCCCCGCCGGGGACGAGGCCGGGGCGGCCGCCGCGGTCGCCTGCTGCGAGGTCATTTTGGCCGGGAAGCCCGGCGAGGGCGAGGGGTTATCCACGAGCTACTTTGGCCTCTTCGCCGTAGACCCGGAGCGGCAGGGCGGCGGATTCGGCAATACGGTGCTTGCAAAGGCCGAGGAGTACGCGAGGGACACGCTCGGCGCGTCGCGCATGGAGATGACGGTCATCTGGACCCGCGACGAGCTGATCGCCTGGTACCTGCGTCGGGGGTACGTCAAGACGGGGGAGCAGAGGCCCTGGCCGTACGGGCAGCCGGCGAACGGGAACCCGCTGAGGGATGACCTCTACTTTGAGGTTTTGGTCAAGGATCTTAGTTGAATAGGTAGATGGGCTCAGCAAACTTTTCTCTCTACTTTGCGATGTTATGATGGAGAAGTCGCTTCATTCGACAAGCTGCCCATTTCGGGGGGGTTTTTTTTCAGGCGCACTCACATCGCCCCGAAGTTGGCCTTTGCAGCTGCAGCTCATCCAGATTACCAGCCTGGATTGATATTCGTCCAATTGACGGGCTGTTGGCTCACGTTCTAGGTCGGCGTTTAGATAGGTAGGTATCCTGCATCCAATCGACTCGCCTACGCAAAACGGCAAAGAAAACATTAGCAACCAAACCGCCACCGCAATGCGAGCTTGGTCTTGATAGGCTTGTCAGCCCCGGCAAGGCTTCGCATGGCCGGCAGGATCTGGCCTGGGGCGCCGCCTCAAGTGGCAGGGCTGGCGCTAAAGATCAGACCAGGGACCTTGACTTGGCCACGCGATGGCGGGGTTCTGCGCCTTCTCGGTTGCTGCCCGGCGCTGACAGCCAATTTGCCCTTGACTGCTGGGGCCTGTACCCGTGCAGTTCCTCCCAGCGTCCACCTTTTCAACAACGGCAATTACATGGCTTCAAATAACCCCATTCTCCCTCCCGATGCCCAACCCCGTTATGCTGCTGCCCTCCCTGCAAGGTACATGTGCACGATGCTGAAAACCGATTGCTTTTATGTCCCTGGGGGCCTCATAACGAAAAAGTCCGACGGCGCAAATGCAATGTTCTCTCCCAGTTCGGATTGCCAGGCCGATACTCGAATTTCCTTCCGGCCCCCTGCTTATGCATCTCTAGCTATTGGTCCCAGGGTTCAGCGGTGCCAAACTCCAACAGCCGCGCGCCACGAATCCCCGTTTCCTGGGTTTCGGCTCCAGCAAGAAGAGGCAAAGACGCGGGCATGTCCCGACTGCCTTTCAACCCAACTCCCCTTCCCAGACGCCTAGAGAGTTAGCTCGCCCGCTTCTCTCCTCTTTCCTCTCGAACCTACTGTTGCCATGTGTGACTTGCGCCCCCGCCAGTGAGAAGATATGACAATATAGAGAGCCTTACGCCACCAACGACAGCCAGCCGTGATCCCCTTGCTCTACACGCTTGCCGAGATGTGGGTGACAGCTGGCGCTTCACCGCTACTACAAGTTCTGTTGCTCATACTCGCAACACTATCCGGACTCGTCAAAGGCCAATTGGAAGGGCGAGCGTTGCGTTTGACCAACAAGGATTGGAACGCGACCAGAGGCCGACCCTTTACGATCTTTTGGGCCGACAGCAGTGGAGAAACCGTGTCGATCTTCTTGTTCACCAAGTCGGCCGACAAGCAAACCCTCGCGCTCGTCAACAAGCTGGCCGACACAAAGGAAGGACAATACACTGCCACGCTCCAGTCGACCCTTGCCCCCGGAGAATATGCCTTTGGGGTGAACGATGGCGCTCTATACTACTCGCCCTTCTTCCAACTTGGCAGCCAGGATCAGGTACGCACTGCAACTCTTGCTGCCGACACATACGCTAAGACGCCAAAATGGCCTTCCAGTCCCTGGCAGCACTAGCCACCAACGCAAATCAGACAACTTCAAGCAATAGCAGCACAACAGCACCCTCCAGCCCACCCAACTCGACAGGTGCACTCCAATCAACAACACCAACCCAAAACCCATCTTCAACCGCGAACCCCGAATCCACCGGGCCCCAGACAGCCCCAAGTGGCCCCACAGACGGTGAAAAGATCGGACTGGGCGTGGGCGCGACCCTGTTCGTCGTCCTCCTCGCCAGCGTGCTGGGCTGCCTTGTCCGCCGCGTCCGCAAGCAGACGCAGCTGGGCGACGACGACGACGACGACGACGACCGCACCATGGCCGTGCGGGACCCACGCGGGGGCCTGAGGACCGCGCCCTGCGTCCCCACAAACGCGCGCGGCGAGCCCAGGCCGCCGCGGCGACCCGGCTCCGTCGCCCGCAGCGCCCACTGGGCGCGGTGCGTCCCCTCAAAGGGCGCGCTGACGCTGGCGTCCGTCAACACCTTTGAGCTGGCCGCCGACCCGCCCGGCTCGCCGAGGCACGACGCGCTGCATGCCTCGCAGTCCGGGTTGACGTCGCTGCTGGAGGTCTCGCCGGCCACCCCGTCGGTACGGACCGAGTCGCTGGCCGAGCTGAGCGCAGAGCCTCGCTGTGAGGCCCGAGAATAATTCTTGACCTATTACGAGCCACCTTCATCTTCTTGTTGGGACTGAAGGGCAACATCGCGATGGAAAGGAGCGGAGAATAAAGGCCTCTTATTCCAAGGCACTCCCATCGCCTGAGAAATAAAGGCCAAATATGCTTGCCGAAGGCCGCAGCCTGGATTATGTGTACTGGGTTCGCAATTAGTTAATTTAAACCTGCTAGCTAGTCTTTGGACACACTACGTCTGATAATGTTGGGAATCGAACCTTATCGCCTGTACATATGAAGAGCGGCTTTGAGGGCCACAGACCGACAGTTTCCAACTTTCTAAAGCGCTTCATCCGGTCTGGAAATGTCAATTTACGGTAAAGACAGTACATGGTATTGTCTATCAACTTCAGATGTGATGGTGTCGAAGACCTACTTCTGTTTTTTCAGCTCTGTACAGTTTTATCTCTCATCAAGGCGGGAAGGATCAAACGGCTGGCACACACAGAAATTGATTTATGATATCAATAATGCTATGATATTACCCCATCTCACCGCGCTCCCCACGTAAAATTGTTTCTATGGTGTTCCTTCAAGCAATAGTCTGTGTACTTTGAATTCCACGGCTGATGATTCAGTCAACTTGAATCAGTGGAAAGCTACACATGATAGCCAGGCATAAGCAGTGTGTAATAATAAATATGCGCCCTAGAGACCCTCCAAACACATCTCTCAACATCGAATGGCGAGCCTCCACTCGGTCCAGCCGGCATGGGTCCACTGTGGGCGGTTAGACGACGCCGTCCATATCGTAATCGTCTAGGGGATCATCTAGGACTTCAGCTTCGGAAAAGGCCTTGTGCCTCTTGTTCCGCTTGGCTGGCGTGGCTGGGGCGGCATCGCCCTCGTTCTCATCCTCGGTGGCGTCGTGATCGATAATGGGTTCATTGGAGCGCCCTCCCGAGCCGTTGCCACAATTCCTTGAGCTCTTTGCCGCAGGAGAGACGGCAGAGGCGGCAGAGGCAGCGCCGGCCGCAAGATCGTCACCAGGCGCAGCGCTATCGGAAACAGCCTCGGCCGCGTCACCGCCTGCGGTCGCCTTCCTCTTGCGCTGGCGCGGGGTCCATTGGTACGACTTGACGACGCCGGCGGCGGGCTTGCTGCTGCCGTACTTCTCCTGCAGCTTCTTCTTCAGAGGCCCGAAGCACGTGCGGGCCGAGTGGGCGTTCTTGAAGCCCGCGATGACGGCGAACTTGTCCCAATCGATCTTGGAAACGACACACAGGTAGAAAGCAGAGTCAGCAGAGTGGCTAATTGAGCGAGCAGATTCGCTGTAGCAGGGTCTACATAATGGCGACCGGGCAGGAGCGTAAACAAACCTGAGGATCCTGGGCTGACAGCCAAGCAGCAGCGACCAGCTCGCACTCACGGGCTGTGAGATCAAGCGTGGGCTTCCGGGCAGCAGCGGACTTGCCACTCGATGCCATGTTGAAATTCGGCGCGGTCGGAAACCAGAGCCGAAAAGGATTTCCAGGAAGCTAGTCTGAGGCTGTGGATAGGTGCTGATGAGAGTCTCTAAAGATAAACGGCCGTTCGGTCGCGCTTTGATGAACCAAGCTCTCAATCTGATTGATCTGATTAATGCGATTGTGTGGAGAAGCGAGCAATGTTTACATGAGAGGTCCGTTTAAACTTCCAAGCTGGTATCTGGCGCTATTGGGCCAGCGCGTTGGGACGGCGGGGAGACAGCACAACCCCACTGATGGGAGAGAAATATGTGGGGCAGCGCACAGACTTTTAGCAGGCACCTCCCCTTGGGCAAGCAATTAAAACTTTTGCTGTTTGTTTCCAGCACCAGCTCCTAGTTTACCGTAGGCCTGTGGCCTTGTACTGCTTACTTCCCCAAGTGGCGGACCAGACCCGCGAATTTTCGCGAGGGCCCGGGACTCAACGATGGCGGTGGCTACTTCTCCGACCCCCACTAGCCCCGCACTCAAACCTCCGGTCGAGTTTCGCCTGGCTCGAAGCTCGGAGGACGCCGACGTGGAGCTGAACCCTGGGCCCGCGCCTTCCGTGGACAGCGACGGCAGGCGGGAGTCTTCCTTGACTCCCCACTGGTTCAGGTCGCGGGAGTCGTTGCCAGCACCGGCCCGGGGCAGGTCCGCCTCCATGGGCGCACTGCCCGAAACAGCTCGGGGCCTGTCCCCCTTGGGCCGGCTCCGGAACAGAGTTGCTCCACCGCCACGGCCGCAAGAGGCAGAGGCGCGGGCTTCCGGGCTCGCCTTCGGGTTGGAAACGGTTCTGTTGCCTTGGGACGATGCCGACGCCAAAGAGTGTTCCTGGGCTCGGAACAATTATGCGGAGCACCGGGTGATCTGCACCCTCCCTAACGACCGGTGCTGGCATTCTTGCTTGCCAGTACGGTTTGTTTCTGCGGGAGGGTTTCATTAGATCCAGTGCGTCGTTGACCGGGTCAGCAACACGAAAGCCAACTTCTCAGTGGCCGATGTCCCTGCATTGGCAGAAGTCATCGTCCGCTGTCTCACCAATCGGAGGGCACCCGTGCTTGACGGCCACGCCATCTCGGCTCTGGCAATGACCGTTAAAGTGCTGCTCGGATGCCCTAGGGGAAACGGGGGGTTCGCCGTGTCCATACATACTAAAACCGGCAACGTCGTTTTCCACTATGATTGCATTGGGAAGCCGGATTTGAGAGGCAAGCTGTGGTGGCTTCTCGATCACTACGAGATGGTCCATGGCGGGTCGGAGCCCCCTAGCCAGGAAGAGGTTGCCGGCGTGAGATCTGCGGAGGAGGAGAGCGCAGGCGAGGAGCCATCCGAGACAACGCCTACCCCTTCCGTCGCCCAGGGCCTGGGGGGCGCCGAGCCCGGGCCGAGCATCCTTTCTTCGCCTGTCGGACAAGCTGTGACAGAGGGCGAACCGCCAGCCAACGCCAAGGCACACGTGCCAACCCCTTTGCCTAAAGATGCCACTCCTGCGGCCGTGGCGGAGGCCACAGAGTCCAGAGTGCAACAACTCCAATCGGTGGGCCAGGACACGCTTTCTTGGCCCGTGGCGCGACCCGAAACTATACAAGGGGGGGACGAAAAGAGGAAAACAAGAAATGATTAAAAGGTAGGAGATTTGAAGCTTTGAGATTACTGCTTTTACATCATTAAACAAATGGTAATCGGTTATGAGTGTATATTGATGCAGCCATTAGAATACGTTGTGATTTGAGACCCAGGTGGACGTAATCACAGTTGAAGAAAAGTCGCTTCCTTCGTAATTAATAACGCGAAGAGTATCTTGGCTCGCGAAGGAACATAGGGAACTGCAGGACTCGTAATGTTTGTAGGAAACAAATCCTCGAAAACACACATGGCCTCCAAAAGGGGTTTTATGAAAGTAATTTAAAACTACCGTCTTTATGGGATAAGCTCTCCTTTTAGGAACACGAATATCCAAATCCAACCAACGGATAAACGCTATTTCCCCCCATCATACGACCCCGTTTGGCATGGTCAAGATGAGATGGCAATAACCATCCAAATGCCCAGCCCCGCCGTCAGTAACGGTACATGCCCAATTTTAAGTTCCGCCAATGTACCCGGCCCCCCTTCCCAGCTCCCTGAAACTGCTTCTGAAGTTGCCCTCCCTCATAACTCTCGGCTCAAAGCCCTCGGGGTTTCTCCAGTACATTAGGAGAGCATCCTTGGCTTCTGCGGCAGATCCCTGGCTGACGATTCCCTCCTTCTCCAGGTCGCCCATCACGATGGCCAGCCAGGCGCGGCAGCCCTCCCATTCAGGTGAGAAGTTAAACGCATCCCTGCCCTTTCCGTTGATTGACTGGATGATGTCCGCGACGGTGATAGTGCGGGCCGGCCGAAAGGAGAAGGTCCTTAGGGTTTCGTCGGTATTATAGGGCTGGGCTGGCAGGGACGCGAGCTCGATCTTGCCACGGATACCCTCGCTGCCGTAGCCAGGAGCCATGTCCAGTGTCACGCATGAGGTTGGTGAGGTTTGGAGAGAAATGGTCCAGTGGTTAGTGGGCGGTTCGCCATTTTCGTCTCCCTCGTTGTTGTCGTTGCGAAGCGTGCAGAGATGGAGGACTTCAACCGCGCCGGCGAGATCCTCCTCCTGGAAGGCGTCTGTATCCCAGTTTTCGCTAATTTCGGAAACCCGACGAATAGGTTCGGTCGAGGAAGCTTCCATTTCGCCTGCAAAGATGGACCTGGTAAGGGAGCCTCGTGGTTGCATGCCTCCCTCGTCGCTCATGTTTTCCTTGTCGGGATATGCAACGAGATGCACGAAATGCACGAGAGCGACGTTCTGGGACAGAGAGACATGGTTGAGCTTATCAGCCTCCCAGTTTCCGTCGAGCGAAGCCATAGAGCTGGTGGTATGGAGAAACCCGGGTTCGAGTGTGGGGATTTGCTTCTTGTATGACATGGAAGCGTGGCGAGTGGCAGGTTTGTGACAGGGAGGAGGAGGAATAAGTGCCAGATAGGGATATTGATGACGCGTGGGAAGAATCTTGGACGTAGTATGATTGAGTGCGTGAGATATTGGGCAACAGGATGCAACCAGTGAGCGTTCCATGACCTTATATCAGCGGCTACAAGTTTCCTAGGTACCTAGTAGGGCTGGTGGCCACCCGTGTTCTCGACCATCGAAGAGGGCCGTGATCTGCAACGACAAGGGCTGCACATGGGCTGCCGCCCAACATGCAAATTAGCAGCTAAAGGGAAGGGGCGTCTGCCTGGCCGCCGACGGGGGACCTTTCGGGCCAACACCGGCGCGTTTACGGGCTACGACTGGGCTCGGTGAGCGCCGTGCGGTCAGGTCGTGAACTTGTGGCCCCGACTGAAATAAAATCAGGAGCCGCTCCGCTAATTTGACGCCTGCACAGCCCTTCGAGGACAAACGTCAAATTGCCCTAATTTTAATTTTAGTCGTTTAGCGCAAGAGGATAAAGTAACACTGCTTTTTTAGTGTTTTAACTCATACCTCAAACAACACAAACACGCAGTGAAAGCGTTAGCAAAGCCCGAAGATGTAGTTTTTTTTTGTTTTTTTTAATGTTTAATCTTTACCAATTTTCAATTTTTCTCGATTTTTACTTATTATTTTTATTTTTATTTTTTATTAATTTCTATTCTTTTACCGATTTTTATCGTTTAAACGGTGGTTTCCAGCGGGGGACCCCCTGGGACCCCTTTTTGCCTCCGGCGGCGGCTACAACGATCCCTCACCCGCCGCACTGTCTGGCAAGTAGAGTTGATTAATCGTAAGCCAGGACGGCTGGATCCTTGTGGACTGGTCAGCGGCCATTTAAGCTACGGACTGTGTCCCAAATAGGGGAAACTTTTGTCAAGGTAAAGAACAGCGACGTCACAACACCGCCCCCGCCTCGCCAGCTCGGCATCCGGCGGTGTTGTGGCTTCGCTGAACAAGCGCGTAAAAAATGCCTGCCAGCCCGTGTTCATGTTGTTCGGTGTGGACCCCTTTAGCGGCAACGACCAACGCATTGGTTCCAGGCTGGGGCCCTTAATCCCACCTGGCGTTACGCTGCTGGGTCCTGGAAAGCGGTCCCCCATAGCCTCCTCAGCAGTGCTGCCTAGGTAGTTCTGCTAAACGTGCACGACTGTGGGGACTACTGTAATCCCCGTGTGCCAACTCTCTGGCACAGAGTCGCAAACCATCGAATTCATGATGCCGGCGACACCATGCTAGGCCCATACTGCCTCCCATCATTTTAGAAGCATCAATTAGTGTTCTCAAACCTACCGGCTGCATTCCAAAAGCCATCATGTGCGCGCAAGGCACAGAGAAATGTTCTATCTGCTACGCAATCGGGCCATCGTAGAACGATGAGCTCGGGCGGACAATTGACGATGCCCGGAGCAGACGGCCGCAGGGCGTCGTCTTCAAATCCGTCATCGAACTCTGCGACAGCTACATCAGCAAGAGGTTCTCCTCCGAGTCGGAATGCGAGGATTCACAGTGTGCCATCGAGAAGGCATCGTCGTTGGGGCTGCGTGTTCCCCCCATCAAGCAGATCCTGTAGGTCGGGAACTGCACTGAGTACGTGCAGACGCGAGTGCGCGGCCCAACCCTCATGGAGACCTGGCACACCCTGGGCATCGCCCGTACCGTTCGGCTCGCGTTCCAGCTCCGCGGCATGGTTCAACGCATGCGCTCTGTCACGAGCCCCACGGCCGGCTCGCTAGGGACGGGGCATGTCGATCGCTTTGGCTTGAGGACTACTAGGGCATCCCTGCCCACTCCCCGCCGGCCGCCATCCCGTGTTTCGTCAACTTTTGGAACAGCTTCGTCTCTTTCCGTCACGAGTCCCGCAAGACGGCCGAACAGCACCCCGAGGCCTGCCTCCAGCCCCTCGATCACGACCCGGAGCTCGTGTTCACCCACACCGACCTTGCTCCGCGCAACCTGATTCTCGAGGACGGCACCGACGACCTGTGGGTGGTGGACTGGGATGAAGCCGGTTTCTACCCGCGGTACTTCGAATATGCCGGAATGCACAACTTCTATGTTCCGGAGGGGTGGACTTGGTTGGCGCGACTGCGCTGGAGGTTTTTCGCCTGGCTCGTGGCGGGCTCCTGGGCTCGGGAACGTCGATTCTTGTCGGAGGCTCTCCGGAAAGCACGGCGGTTCGGGGCGTCCCGGTGATTCAACATCAAGGCCGGGGCGAGCGCATCCGAAAGGACGAACCTCGACTAACATGTTTCGTACGACCGTCCTGGCAAAAATGTTATGTATAAATAGGCAGCCAAAGCGACATGAGCAACAAAGATTAAACCTTGGGACTGTTTGTGTGTATGTAGTGGCGGACGGCATCCCGCCTCCTATGGTCCACGTATAAAAATAACAATCAAG